TCATCCTCCTCCATCTCCCTTCCTCTCAAGTATGTGCTGTCTCAACCAATGTTCCTTCTAAGCTGTGGAGTCTTGTGAGCAAAAATTCTACTTTGTGAGCTCCTGTCATTAAAGTTGTGAGCAAGCAATTAGTCTGCTGCATAAATTAGTTTGTTCAGGAGCCATCCTTCCTGAGCTAAAGCAAAAATATGTGAGCTGGAAGCTAAGAAACTGTGAGCTAGCTCACACTAACTCAGCTTAGAGGGAACACTGCTTCCAACCCACTTAGAGTCCCCAAGGCTGTCCTTTTATGACAGGAGGCAAAGAAACTGGCCCTGCTATTTCTTGTCTGCACAGTTCAGTATTTGCCAATATAGCCAGCCTTCCTCCCATCATCTTTTTAAAAATCCAACAACAACAAACAGCTTAGAGGGAACACTGGACTCTCAACATTTGTGGGGCGAAGCACTGATTCTGAAAGCACTTTTAGATGATAATCAGTCCCACATCAAAGGAGAAGCCAATGTTGGATCAGGCCAGTGGCCCGTCCAGTCCAACACTCTGTGTCACACAGTGGCCAAAAATACCAGGTGCCCTCAGGAGGTCCACCGGCAGGGCCAGATCTTCAAAAGCCCACCCATCGTTGTCCTGAAGCACCAAGAATGCAAAGCATTAGAACATAAGAGAAGCCATGTTGGATCCAGCTAATGGCCCACTCAGTCCAACACTCTGTGTCACACAATGGCCAAAACCCAGGTGCCATCAGGAGGTCCACTGGTGGGGCAAGAGCTCCAGGATCCCTCCCACTGTTGCCCCCCCAAGCACCAAGAATGCAGAGCATCAGTGCCCCAGACATAAGAACATAAGAGAAGCCATGTTGGATCAAGCCAATGGGCCCTACAGTTCAACACTCTGTGTCACACAGTGGCCAACACCCGGGTGCCATCAGGAGGTCCAGCAGCAGGGCCAGAACTCCAGAAGCCCTCCCACTGTTGCCCCCCCCCCCAGCACCAAGAAGAGAGAGCATCCCTTGCCCCAGACCGAGAGTTCCTATCTATACCTTGTGGCTAAGAGCCACTGATGGACCTCTGCTCCATGGGTTTCTCCAATCTCTTCTTGAAGCTGTCTGTGCTTGTGACTGCCACCACTTCGTGTGGCGGTTCAGGGAGAATAGTTCCCTGTCCAGACAGAATGGTTGCCAGTCCAGGACTGGCACCTGGCTGGAACTTTGGTGTGTGGAGGGGAAAATGCAAATAGGCATTGTGCCCATGCCACGACACCCCTTCACTTCTGGTGGAACCTGGATGTGACCTCATCATGGTGGCGTGACACTCTAGGATTCCGCTAGAACTCTGTGGTTTTACCAAGTGGCACTGGACTCCTCTTTCAGAAACAGGAGGTGCCGTCCGGCATGACTGATCTTCAGGATACTGTGGCCCTTGTTTGAGGACTATACCACCTCAGGCGTGTTTGGTGGCCGGTGAAACAGGCGCTTCTGTGATCCAAGGGTTATGGAGTGGTATGTCATTGAGGCCTAGGGATGCTGGGCCTTCTACTTTTAAAAGCCAGGAATACAGTGACACAACCGTGGGCAAGCCTACACGTTCCCCAGAACTTTTTGTCAGGCCAGATGTTACAAAATTAAGGGGGGGGAACCTCCCCAGTGTTCCACCAGGTGGAGCTGTCTCAGAAAAAAGACCAGACCTTTGGAAAAGGCAGAGATCTTGTTATGTACCCTTGAACAGAATCCTCACAGTCGGGCTTAGAGGTCTACTCTTTCTCCTTGGCCCGGTTTTCCCTCGGATGCCCGTGGCCCCGCCCCCAGCATGCCCGGTGTGGTTGCGTCACTTCCGGGTGACGTGCACGTCACTTACTTTGGGGGTGGGGTACTTTGGGGGTGCCCCTGGACTCTGGACTCTAAATTTTTTCCACTGCTCTTAAACTGTTAGAGGTGGAAACGCCTCGTGCGCCTGTCCTCCATTAACGCGGGCTTTGCTTTTCCCCCTTAGAACTCTGCATGACCTCCAACCTCAAAGGGCAGACCGTGCCCTCGCGTGAGTGCCACCATTTTGGATTCTGGTACAAGACGGGTCATCCGGTGGTGCTTTGCGTAAGTTGCCCGCAGTCTCTGACCACGGAGAGCCGTCCCCTCGGCTTCAAAGGCCGGCCGAAACCCCCAGTTCAAATTCCTTCCATTTCGAGGCTTTGAGTCATAATGAAGCAGGCCAGAGCTGGGCAGCTGTTCGGGGAGGAGGAGGTAGAAGAGTAACCAGTGCTACTTCCAGTCATCATGGGTGGTTAGCTGTTTGAGGACCTAGCCCCCCCCCCCATTTTTCTCAGCCCCCTTTAACAGCACCATTCACGGTAGAGTTACAGCATTCTAAATGTAGATTCAGGCGGGGCAGCCGTTGTTGGTCTGAAGCAGCAGAACCAAGTTTGTGTCCAGGGGCACCTTTAAGACCAACAAAGTTTTATTCTGGGTATACGTTTTCGTGTGCAGGCACACTTCTTCAGAGACAGTGAAACAGGCTTCCTTAAGCCTTACATGGGGAGGTTTAGTTGCCCAGAAGGGCTTAGTTAGAGTCAAGATGCATAAGTAACTGCGTGAGATGTATAGCTGAGATTGGATTAGAGCCGTTGGTAAGACCTGTGGATAGCAGCAGATTAGCATATAGATAGTAAAAGAGTTTACAACAGATGTGAGACCTAAGTTTGAGTCCGGTGGCTCCTTTAAGACCAACAAAGTTTAATTCGGGGAAGAAGTAGAAGAAGTAGAAGGAGGAGGAGGAGATTGGATTTATACCCCACCCTTCACTACCTGAAGGAGTCTCAGAGCAGCTTACAATCTCCTTCCCTGTGAGGTAGGTGGGGCTAAGAGAGCCCTCTCGAGGACTGCCCTTGAGAGAAGAGCTCTGAAAGAATTTGTGACTGACCCAAGGTCACACCAGCAGCTGCATGTGGAGGAGTGGGGCATCCAACCCGGTTCTCCCAGATTAGAGCCCACGCTCTTCACCTCTACACCAAACTAGCTCTCATGTGTGCATGCGCACTTCTTCAGGTCCATCGAAACAGACTTCCTCAAGCCTTACGTATAAGTAGAGAGAGGGTGGGTGCCTGCTTTTGTGTGCATGCACACTTCATCAGATCTGAAGAAGTGTTGCATGCACACGAAAGCTTATACCCAGAGCTAAACTTTGTTGGTCTTAAAGGTGCCCACTGGAATCAACCCCTTCTAAGTATGCGGGCTTCAATGGACCTAGACAGGACCTAGAAGGGGAAAACAGTGTCATGAGGCTGTTTGACCTGCTGGGGGCACTAGAGTTCCCTACCCTGAGCTGGGAAATTCCAGGAGATTTGGGGGCGGAGCTCAGGGAGGGCTGGCCTTGGGGCTGAACTTCGGCAGCACTTGAAGGGTCGACTCGATGAGCAGCCGCCTTCTGAGCTCTGTCATCGGGATCAGTTGCAATTCCCAGAGGTCTCCAGGTCCCACCTGGAGGCTGATGACACTAACCACGACGAGCGTCTCTCTGTGATTGTCACTGGCAGGAGAGCATTAGAATCAGTGTTCCCTCGAAGCCGAGTTAGTGTGAGCTAGCTCACAGTTTTTTTAGCCTCCGGCTCACACATTTTTGTCTCAGCTCAGGAAGGGAAGGGCTCCAGAGCAAGCTGATTTTATGCCGTCGCCCAATCACCTGCTCACAACTTTAATGCTGGTAGCTCAAAAAGTAGAGTTTTTGCTCTCAGGACTCCACAGCTTAGAGGGAGCATTGATTGGGATTGTATTCATGCAGGGTGAATTGGGAGGGGCTGTGGCTCAGTGGTAGAGCATCTGTTTGGCATGCGGAAGGTCCCACGTTCAATCCCCGGCATCTCCAGTTAAATGGACCAGGCAGGAGGGGATGGGAAAGACCTCCGCCTGAGACCCCGGAGCGCTGTCAAGAGAGGCCGTGGCTCAGTGGAAGAGCCTCTGCTTGGCATGCAGAAGGTCCCAGGTTCAGTCGCCGGCATCTCCAGTTAAAAAGGACTAGGCAGGAGGTGATGGGAAAGACCTCCGCCTGAGACCCTGGAGAGCTGTAGAGAGGGGCTGTGGCTAAGTGGCAGAGCCTCTGCTTGGCATGCAGAAGGTCCCAGGTTCAGTCCCCGGCATCTCCAGTTAAAAAGGACCAGGCAGGAGGTGATGGGAAAGACCTCCGCCTGAGACCCTGGAGAGCTGTAGAGAGGGGCTGTGGCTAAGTGGCAGAGCCTCTGCTTGGCACCTCAATGGACTGATGGTCTGATTCAGTATAAGGCAGCTTTAGATGTGTTCATGTGTGATCAGTCCCCTGTCCAAACAGGGTAGCATGATACAGTGTGCCCCAGAATCCTTTGTGGCATGCAAGGATTCTTGCAGATGGCTCAGGCATTCTTTGGCTGATAGATTTATGTTGAACACGCCCTTTGACAGCCCCCCAAGAAAGCTCTAGGCTGGTGAAGGCCCATCTTCTGGAAAGCAGCTTTTGATGCCGCTTCCTCCCCCCCCATTTGTTTCTAAACAGACTGACGATAAAGGTGTTTTCGCGACGGACCTCTCTCAGGAGTACCAGCTGGTCGCTGATACGTTTCAGCTGTCCAAAGCGCAGATGTGGGACCTCTCCTACGACGCCATCGACTACATTTTTGCTGGCGCCCACACCAAGGCAGAGCTGAAGGAAAAGTGGAACAAACTGAAACCGTCTCTGCTTAGTCAGAACGTCGAGGACCGGTGAACCCATGGCGTGTTCTGTGTAGACGGCACTTTTAGACCTAGTTGGTACATTCTGTGGAATTACTCTGTGAAGATGGGCTGCTTCACACCATACCATATCAGCCTGCACTGGCGTGGTGAATTGTTAGGATATTATTTTTTCTTCCATTTCTCTCACAAAACCCCCGCATGCAGAAAGCCAGCACGTCAGGGAGAAGGCGGGGTGGCGCCCTTTTCCTTGACATGCTAGGTTTCTGTTGCAGGGAGTTAAAAATATAGGTGAGCTGCTGTCCAAAATAGGTATAGTCCAGGAAATTTTTTTTGTGTTTTAATATTGTTGAAGAGATAAACTGATCCTAAAATTAGTCTTGCTCTGGTCTGTCATGGAAGCTCGCCGGGTGACCCAGGGCCGGTTGCATGCTCTCAGCCTAACCTACCTCGCAGGGTGTCTGTTGTGGGGAGAAGAAGAAAAAGGAGATTGTAAGCCGCTCTGAGACTCCGAGTGAAGGGCAGGGTATGAATCCAACTCTTCTTCTTCTAGCTGAGGGTGTGCGACCTGCACAGGGTCACCCAGCAAGCTTCCATCAGAGTCAGAATTCAAACTCAGGTCTCCTGCCTCTTTCCTCAGAGCGGCTTCCGTGCTTCCCCTGTGCCCCATTTCATCCTCACAACAACCCTGCGAGGTAGCCGAGGCTGAGAGTGCGCAGCTGGGCCAAGGTCACCCAACAAGCTTCCATCAGGGTAGAGTGGGGTTTTAAACCCAGGTCTCCCAAGATCCTAGGCCAACACTCTAACCACTACGCCACACCGGGTCTCCAATTCCAAGCCAGGCCCCTGTTTGTAGCAGCCACCCGTGCCGAGCCGTTTAACTTTCAGAGCCTTGCTTTGCAGTTTGGCTGACCTCCGGAAGGCACTGCATGGAGAGATTCTCTCTCTTTTTGTTTTAGAAAGCGACACGTTACCCTAAACTGAATTCAGAGGAGGGCTCTCGTTTTGTTTCTTGTAGGTGGTTTATTGGCGCGCGGAACGCCTCAGTTCTTGGCCCGCATTTCCTCCTCTTTGCTTCTTGCGTTTAGCTGGTCCAGAGCCAGAGTCGGTCACACACTGCGGAAGACAAGAGGAGGAGAGAGGCGTGAAATCGCCCTGTTTTGGAGGGGCCACAGATCATTCGCCCCAAACTTGGTGGTCTAGGTTAGCTGGATCTCATCGGATCTCGGAAGCTAAGCCGGGTCGGCCTTGGTTAGTAATCGGATGGGAGACCACCAAGGAAGTCCAGGGTTGCTACGCAGAGGAAGGCGACGGCTAACCGCCTCTGTTTGCCTCTGCCCTGCCCTGCCCTGGATGGCCTAGGCTGGCCTATTACATCTCTGAAGCAGGGTCAGCTGTGATTAGTACCTGGATGAGAGACCACCAAGGGAGTCCAGGGTTGCTACGCAGAGGAAGGCGACGGCAACCCCGCCTCTGTTTCCCTGCCCTGACCTGGATGGCCCAGGCTACCCCGATCTCATCATATCTCAGAGGCTAAGCAGGGTCAGCCCTGGATAGTATTTGGATGAGAGACCAACCAAGGAAGCCCAGGGTTGCTATGCAGAGGCAGGCAATGACAGACCACGTCTGTTCCCCTGCCCTGACCTGGATGGCCCAGGCTAGCCTGATCTCGTCAGATCTCGGAAGCGAAGCAGGGTCAGATCTAGCTGGTATGTGGATGGGTAGACCGCCGAGAATGCCCGGGGCTGCTACGCAGAGGCAGGCAGTGGCAAACCACCTCTGAGCATCCCTTGCTTTGAAAACCCTACGGGGTCACCATAAGTTGGGAGCTCCGGATTTTGTCCAATGGAGACCGACCTTGGGCAATAGAGAAGTTGTTTGGCACATCATTCACCCCTGCAAGTTGTCACTGGATGTGACAGGGGATGTACACAGGCATGATCCAGTGCCATATAATCCGCTATGCAGAGGCAGGCAATGACAGACCACGTCTGTTCCCCTGCCCTGACCTGGATGGCCCAGGCTAGCCTGATCTCGTCAGATCTCGGAAGCGAAGCAGGGTCAGATCTAGCTGGTATGTGGATGGGTAGACCGCCGAGAATGCCCGGGGCTGCTACGCAGAGGCAGGCAGTGGCAAACCACCTCTGAGCATCCCTTGCTTTGAAAACCCTACGGGGTCACCATAAATTGGGAGCTCCGGATTTTGTCCAACGGAGACCGACCTTGGGTAATAGGGAAGTTGCTTGGCACATCATTCACCCCTGCAAGTTGTCACTGGATGTGACGGGATGTACACAGGGGTGATCCAGTGCCACATAATCCGGCGGGGCTGTGGCTCAGTGGAAGAGCCTCTGCTTGGCATGCAGAAGGTCCCAGGTTCAATCCCTGGTGGTGTCTCCACTTCAAAAAAGACCAGTCAGGAGGTGATGGGAAAGACCTCAGCATGAGACCCCGGAGAGCTGTAAAGAGGGGCTGTGGCTGAGTGGCAGAGCCTCTGCTTGGCATGCAGAAGGCCCCAGGTTCAATCCCTGGCATCTCCAGTTAAAAGGACCAGGCAGGAGGTGATGGGAAAGACCTCCACCTGAGACCCTGGAGAGCTGTAAGGAGAGGCCGTGGCTCAGTGGAAGAGCCTCTGCTTGGCATGCAGAAGGCCCCAGGTTCAATCCCTGGCATCTCCAGTTAAAAGGACCAGGCAGGAGGTGATGGGAAAGACCTCTGCCTGAGACCCTGGAGAGCTGTAAAGAGGGGCCGTGGCTCAGTGGAAGAGCATCTGCTGGGCATGCAGACGGCCGGAGGTTCAATCCCCGCCGGCATCTCCAGTTGAAAGGAACAGGCAGAAAGTAATGTGAAAGACCTCAACCTGAGACCCTGGACAGCAGCTGCCAGCCTGAGTAGACAACACTGACCTTGATGGACCAAGGAGGTCTGATTGAGTAGAAGGCAGCTTCCTTTTTTAAAAAAGGGGCCGTGGCTCAGTAGCGGAGCCTCTGCCTGGCATGCGGAAGGTCCCAGGTTCTATCCTCGGCATTTCCAGTTAAAAAGAACCAAGCAGAAGGTGATGTCAAAAGACCCCAACCGGAGACCCTGGAGAGCGACTGCCGGCCTGAGTAGATAACACTGACCCCCCGATGGACCAAGGCAGCTTCATGATATCTGATCCGTTATCTAAAAGCGGCAGGATCGGAAGAGGGGCCTCGAGGAAGAAGGCCACAAGAAAGGCCAGCCACTGACCGAAGGGCTTTCCCGCCGTTCTCCAGGGTTTGATGGAATTCACCACGTTGACGTAGTTGATCCACTTCTCCTCCCACAAAGGACCGGACGCTGCAAAGCCAAAACCCAAAATGGAAAATTAAAAGTTCGCCTGATTTTCTAGCTACAGACCGAACAACAGAAACAGATGCGCGATATCCTCCCTGCAAGGGATCCCGAACGTGGCATTCTTGACTTCCATGTTCTCCTCACAAAAAGAGTGTGAGGTGGGTCAGGGAGAGAGACAAAGAGTAAGGCTGCGGTCAGACACGCTAAGTAATCCACTTCCAATTCTCTTTCAGGGTACTTTCCAACTGTGTGAACGGGCAAAATCCAGTTGGAAAGTGCACTGAAAGAGGATTGTAAGTGGATTATTTACTCTGTCTGACCACAGCCATAGAGTCAACTTTAGTGGGGATTTGAGCAAGACCCTCTCTGACATTCTGCCAGTTTGGTGTAGTGGTTCAGAGCGGCGCTCTAATCTGGAAGAACCGGGTTTGATCCCCTGCTCCTCCCCATGCAGCTGCGGGTGTGACCTTGGGTCAGTCACAAGTTCTCTCAGAGCTGTTCTCTCAGGAGCAGTCCTCAAAAGAGCTCTCTCAGCCCCGCCTGCCTCACAGGGTGTCTGTTGTGGGGAGGGGAAGGGAGAAGAGATTGTAAGACGCTCTGAGACTCCGAGTGAAGGGCGGGGTAGTTTAGTTTTATTATTACGGTCTTAAGACCAGCATACAATACAAACATAGTATATAAAAAAGGAAGAAAACAGAGATAATATACAGAATAAAATCTAAATTTGCAACTCCCGCAATCTAAGAATCAATACACGAAACTCAGCAACTGAATGTGTAATCTCTGCATTCTTATCTGATAGAAGCCAGTGAAATCTTGCTTTGTTCGTATTGATTTTACCGGAAGGGCGGGGTATAAATCCAATTTCTTCTTCTTCTTCTTCTTCTAATGGCTGGAAGATGGGATTGTGGCAGCTGTAGTTTTGAATGAGAGTCGCTGTGGGTCTTGGGTTCAAATCCCTGCTTCCCACAATGCTTGGGCCAGTCTCACACTCAGCATGAAAAACCTCACAAAGCTGACCCATGCACACTTCCCCGAACTCTTGGAAGAGGAAGAGCAGGATAACAGAGAACGCATCTTTTCACAAAATCCTGCACTTTCTATTGTATCTGTAAATTGCAGCAGTAGACCTCTTCCAATAATCAAAGCGACGACCTCTTGAAAGCACCCTTCAGTTCCAAAGCTTCTCTTACCTGAGGTGTGTCTCAGATCAATAATCATGCCTCCCCGGTGTTTGATGCATTCTCTCATGTAGCCACGATTGTCCACAATCTTTAAGAACGCAAAAATAAAATTAGCAGCATTGGAGAGCAGAAGGTGAGGCCAGAACAGATATTCGGAGACAGCAGTTGAAAGAGGAAGGGGGCCGTGGCTCAGCGGTAGAGCCTCTGCTTGGCATGCAGAAGGTCCCAGGTTCAATCCTCGGCATCTCCAGTTAAAAAGGACCAGGAAGGAGGTGATGGGAAAGACCTCCGCCTGAGACCCTGGAGAGGTGTAAAGAGGTGGTGGAGCCTCTGCTTGGCTTGCAGAAGGTCCCAGGTTCAATCCTCGGCATCTCCAGTTAAAAAGGACCAGGCAGGAGGTGATGTGAAAGACCTCAACCTGAGACCCTGGAGAGCAGCTGCCAGTCTGAGTAGACAATACTGGACTTGATAGACCGGTGGTCAGACTCAGTAAAAGGCAACTTCCCCTTTGGGGAGGGGAGGGGCTGTGGCTCAGTGGTATAAGCTCTGCCTGCCCGTCTGCGTAGACAAGACTGAACTTGATGGACCAATTGTCTGATTCAGCGTGGGGCAGCTTCATGTGTTCATGTGATTTGACCTTCCCAAGGGTCTTTGTCGCTTCATCCGAACATTTTGAGATGGGCAATATTGATTGCTAATGGTAGCTCAATAAAACTAGTTTTAAAATGTACCCTGAAACCCCTATGATTTATAGAATAGAGTTGGAAGGGACCTGCAGGGTCATCTAGTCCAACCCCCTACACAATGCAGGTAATTCAGAAATACCCCCCCACACACACACACAGTGACCCCTGCTGCATGCGCAGAAGACGGCAAAACCCTCCAGGATCCCTGGCCA